CCCCCCAACCCCACGTTGGCCTCCAATGACCCGTGGCCCTGAGAACATGGTGCCTCCACCCCTGGGCCCCAGACTGACCGCCCCATGCTGAGGAAGAGGTCCGAGAGTGAGCGGGCAGTGGGAGTGAGGTCCTTCTCCAGGAGACTGGCCACCAGGGGGCCCAGCCGGTCCCACAGGGCTTTGGTCCAGGGCTGGTGGCAGCGTCGGAAGGTGCTGGTCAGGACCTTCAGCGCCTGTGTGACTGGTGGTGCGGCCCCAGAGAGCAGGGACCCCTCAAGGAATCCCAGGATGCTTTGGGCACATGGGGGCCAGCGGTCACCCAGCGAAACACACTGTGCAGTGGCCGGGTCTTGGAGGGACAGAGCCAGGACCTGGGCCAGGAGCTGGCTGGCGGCGGAGGCCACAAACAGGCTGGAGTCGCCCTGCAGGGAGAAGATGGTCTCCAGGGCACCTGGGGGAAGGAGTGGAGGGGAGGGCGGGTCATTGTAACTCACACTGAGCCCTGACTCCAGGGGCCCAGCACGGCCGGCCCTGCGCCCTCCCCAGCAGGGGTTACAAAGGCTGGCGGCTTGGTTCACAGGGTGACGGTCAGAAGTAGGTGGTCAGGCTCTTGTCCCTCATCTGAGCCTCACGACACCGTGCCAACCTCCACTGAGTGGCCGGTGCGGCTGCTACGAGGTACCCTGCCCAGGACTTGCACCCAGGTCTCCTGCTGGGATGGTGCGAGGGGGCGCCTTGAACCACCACCTCCTATGGCAGTGATTCTCAACTTCAACCTCATCCTGTGGGTCGCGACCCCTTTGGGAGTCAAACGACCCTTTCACAGGGGTCACCTGATTCATCACAGTAGCAAAATGACAGTGATGAAGTAGCAACGACAATAATTTTTTTTTTTTAACAAAAATAATGTTATGCTTGGGGGTCACCACCACATGAGGAACTGTGTGAAAGGGTTGCGGCATGAGGAAGGCTGAGAACCACTGCGTTAGGGGGAAGAGCCTGAGTGGTGCCAACCGTGGGCATGAGCCTGGGAGCTCCTGCTGGGGTCACATGACATGATAGCGCCACCCCCTCCTCGGGAGCAGAGCTGGGGCGGCGGCAGCACCACCCTCTCCCGGGGGCCCTTGGGGAAGCTGCCAGCTCTTCCAGCGGGCCGACTCCCAGCAGGACAGGGTGCCCAGGAGCCCCGGGGGCGGGGCTTAGAGCCTGACATGGAAGTGCGTGGGCTTGAAGCATCTCTGCGGAGTCAACCGTGGTCCTGGGATTTGAACAGCCCACCCTGTGACATCTGGTCCCACCCGCTTCTCTCTCTCT